TCCGCCCTTGTTAACCAGCAATCCTAGAAAGCCGCGTGGTCCTGCCGGCGCAGTGGGTTGCCGCGCTCTGCTGGGATTGCTCCAAGTGTTTCTTTGCAGGCGAAGGAGTCGTGGGAGATGGACACCAAAGAGAAGCTGGAGCAGGCTGCCGTCGTCAAGGAGAAAGGCACGATGTACTTCAAGGTTTGTAAGGTTGGGGATGGCAGAGGTGGAGCAAGGGAGCTGGAAGTAAATTTGGGGTGATTATCAGATACACGGCTTAGCAGTCATCGGTTTCAGAGAAGCCGCGTGTGGCTTCCCCAAACAGCGCTGGGGAAGGCGAGTTCTGCCCTTCCTCTGCCGCCTTCTCACTCCCTGAGATACCTCCTCCTTTCCCAGCGTTGTGCTCCCCGCGGAGCAGGACGGGAGATGGGACTCTTCCCAGGGGTGGATGTGGCCGGGGTTAATGCCGCGGCGCTCCGCAGTTCCCCTTCCCGGGCTGGGGCATCCCCGTCCTCCTCTGCTCTGTGCAGCGGAGGAACTCAAGCTCAGACTTGGCTTTCCCCGGGAGCTGCGCACCAGCCAAGCCCCGGTGTGTTTGTAGGTACTCGACATCCTCCTTCGGTCGTTTATTGATTTAACCGACCGCATTAAATTCGTAACCTGTTTGCAGGATGTTTCGGGAGCAGGGTGAGCGTTGTCGGCACGGGTTCCTCTAGACTCTTCTTCTTTGCTCCATTCCAGGAAGGCAAATACCTGCAGGCGGTGATTCAGTACGGGAAGATCGTGTCCTGGCTGGAAATGGAGTACGGCTTGTCTGAGAAAGAGTCGAAAGCCTCCGACTCCTTCCTCCTGGCTGCCTTCCTCAACCTCGCCATGTGCTACCTGAAGCTGCGAGAGTACGCCAAAGCCGTCGAGTGCTGCGATAAGGTAGAGGTGCACGAGCCCGGAGGGGGTTGGAGCATCCTCTCCTCCTGCACGTTTTCACTGGGAGTTTGGGGGAATTTTTGAATTTCTTTTTGCGTAAGAAGCAATTCCCAAGCGGCAGTGGGACGGGGGTGGCATCCCTTCTGCCCCTGGGAGCCTCCGTGGATGCTGCGCGCTCGGAGACTGCAGGAGCAAAAGGGCTTTTTTTTTGGAGTTCGAAGTCCACCTGGGCATGCGCTTACAAGAGCTTTTCTTCCAAAGCCAGATCCGTAGGGATGGGCGCTGCGTGGACCGACAGCCTTAGGGCGCTGTTTGGGTCCGCCCGGGCTGGACGTGGGCATTGGGCAGTCTCCGCCGGAGCCGCAGCGGGTGTCCGAGTCCGTTGAGGGCTGGGACGGGGATTTGCCAGTCTCTAAAAGACCGGCGACCTTGTCTTTGTCAGGAAACCATTAATTCTTTTATAAAAGGCTTAAATTTAAGCGTACGGGAAAGATAGTAAAGCTAATTGCCTTAATTTATAAGGTGATCATCTCTGAGATGCGTATGTGGCTTTTACTAAAGGAAAATAGTGTTATTCATATAATCATAGAATCATAGAATCGCTAAGGTTGGAAGGGACCTTCAAGATCACCAAGTCCATGTCATTGCTAAAGCAGGGACACAAACCCATATTTGATTTGTCAGCTCCCTTACCCCTGAGCTCCCCGTGCTCCTCTGGGCTCAGATTGAGTGTTTACAGCCGATTTCTTATCTGTGGGTTCATCTCCCACCGACTCTGCCACTCTCAGGGGGATTTTGAGGCAGGAGAAATAACTAAACTGCGTTAGTGACCTGCCAACTGCCGATGGAGACGAGGCAATTTTTGTAGAGCAAGACGCAAGTGCTCTGGAGATTTGAAGCTGCCTTGTCCTAATTTTGGCAGATTTAATGAGGTTTCGACCGTAGGGGGATCTTTTCGGGGAGCCCCGAGTTGCTAACAGGGATCTGTGTGTTTCCAGGCATTAGGACTGGACCAGGACAACGAGAAGGGGTTGTACCGGAGGGGCGAAGCCAGATTATTGATGAACGAGTTTGAGCTGGCAAAATGTGACTTTCAAAAAGTGCTGGAAGTGAATCCACAGAACAAAGCGGCGAAATCCCAGATCTCCGTCTGCCAGAAGAAAACGAAGGAGCACAACGAGCGGGACCGGAGGATCTACGCCAACATGTTCGCAAAGTTTGCGGAGAGGGATGCAAAGGTGCGTCTTGCCCGGTTTTGGCCATCTAGCAGGCACAGTGAAGGATGCTCGGCAGGTTTGTGATGAGAAGAGATGGCTTAGAACCAGTTAAATTCTAGATCAGGTTGAGGATGGAGGGATAGAGCCCGCTGCAGTGGGAAGAAGTGGTTTATTTCTTGGTCTGTCTTACACAGAGGCTGCCGTCGTGCTCAGCCGTCGATAAAAGTATTTGCAGTGTGAGCTCCCGAGGGCTGGTAACGGGGTTGGCATTGGTACTTCATTTTGCTGTTCCCAGCTAGTGACTGTTGATGACCTCCTGGTCACCGGTAAAATGAAATGTCATCCCATCCCTGGCAAGGCCAAGGGTATTTTGAGACATGATAGTATGGATTTCCTGAAGGTGGTAAGGCGATAGGCTGCTCCTCCGCTCGGACGGAGAGATCGCTGTCTCCTAACAGGCTCTCCTCCAAAATTCCGCTGAACAAAACCCGGTGTACTGTAACGAGAGAGGACACAGCTTTGCAAGTTGTCTGCGCGGGTCATTTTTAGCGTAATCTCTTCTGAAGCGGTGCCCGGAGGTTGAGGCTGTGGAATAAAAGGAGCAGTGCGGAGCCCGGGGAGCGGCGTGCCGGGGTCACGGGCTCGGGGCAGGGAGCGGTGCGGTGGCTCCTGCGGGCGGCTGCGATGGGGAGAGTCACTGGTGGAGCCCCTGTAAGGCTGTGCCGTGCCTTAGCGCTCCTCTCCCCCCCCCGCCGCCGGGGCTGCAGCTATGGCTCCGTGCTGCATCTGCTGGACAGGCTGGAGAGTTGGGCAGAGAGAAACCTTAGGAAATTCAACACGGGCGAGTGTAGGGTACTGCATCTGGGGAGGGATAACCCCGTGCACCAGTACAGGTTGGGGGCTGACCTGCTGGAGAGCAGCTCTGTGGAAAGGGACCTGGGAGTCCTGGTGGCCAACAGGGCTCCCTCCCCACACGGCCCCGGCGCGGGACCCACCTTGCAGATGCCGTTGATGCACATGTCGCGGCTGGCGTTCATCTCGTAGCACGGCGTCCCGTCGATGACGGCATCCCGCAGCTTTTCTGCAAAGTATTCGTCCTCCGGCCGGCAGTGCAGCTCGCAGGGGTTAACTGGGGAACCCAACAAGCAGAAACTAAACCCGAGCAGCTGGGGGCCACGGAACCATCTCCGAAAACATAACATAACCCTGCAAGCCCAGCCGTCATTTAAAATACTGCATAAACTGGCTGCAAGGCAAATCCTACAGACACAGACAGCAAAACCAAGCTGTTAGCAAGGCTGTGGTTCTGGGTTTTCATTGGGGCCGCAGGCAGAAACCCAGCAGTAGACTTTGCCCTCCACTCACTGTTGTTGGGCACCGGCGTCCACCTGTAGAGTTTCCCTTTGTAGAGCATGGGGTTGAACTGGCTGCACTGGACCTGGCGGAAGGAGGGCTTGTCGAGGGGACACGGCTTGACGTTGCAAATCCGGAACCGCTTCCGCTCCCCCAGGCAGTACCGGCCCCCGTACTTTGGCCTGTTCACAGGAGGAAAAGGCAAAATCAGAGAATCACAGAATGGTTTGGGTTGGAAGGGACCTTGAAGACCGCCCAGTGCCACCCCCTGCCCTGGGCAGGGCCACCTCCCCCCAGCCCAGGTTGCTCCAAGCCCCGTCCAACCTGGCCTTGAACACCTCCAGGGATGGGGCAGCCGCAGCAGAGCTTGTCCCTCTCCTCTCTGCGCCTGTGTCCGTCCATCCAGGCTCGCTCTGTCTCAGTGCCCTGCTCCCATCCAGGCGGGTCACATCATTCCCAGGGGATCCCCTACCTTCCCCCAAAAGCTCGCCGGGCTGAGGTTTAATCTTCGCCAGTCACTGAGCCAAGACAACAGGAGCCTCTGGGGGTGGTCGATAGATGTCGGGGGCAAAGGGGGGGAATTCTGCCTGCCCTGCCGAGCTCGGCTGCCCGTACCCATCCCCGGCATCGCTGTCACCCGCCTGCCGCTCCCTTCTCCTCCTCCCAACCCTCTGTGCTTTATTTTCTGTCTCGCAGGAAGCAGCTAGCAAAACCGGGGCCGAAAAAGCAGCGGAGAAAGCAGCTTGTGAAAAGGGACCGAAAACTCCCAGTGCCGAAGATGAAGAGGCCAAAGGACACGTATGATGGAGGAGGAGGGGAAGGGAGAACCTCCCGCCCTCAGCCCGCGTAGAGAAAAAAGGTTGCTGCCAGCCCTCGGGACTCGCCAGTGTTTTCTTGTAAAGCTTGTTACAGTTTGTGTGATCGTGGAAGCAAAAAGCGCCTCGCAAAGAAAAAACGAACCCCGTCCCACCGCCCTGGGGTGCGCTCGGGGGGGCAGAGTGGGAGCGGCGGGACGCCGTGGGACCACCACCCGTGGAACAAATAGCTTTTAAACGGAGAGAAAGAGGGAGAGGAAAAAAAAAACAACAAAACAAAACAAAAAAATAAATAAAAATTGAAACTCTTGGCTCTTGGGAGGTTTCCGTAGACAGCTCGTCCTGGCTCCCTTGGCTTCGTGTCGGCTGTCGGCGCAGCATCCCGCGTCCTCCGAGATGAGTCGGGATGCGGGAGATGCTTCTCGTCCGCTGCGGTGTTGCCTTGGGTTGTATCTGGCACACGACTGCGCTGCACCGTGCCGGTGCCAGAGCGCTGCGTGCCCCG